CCTCTCCACTCGCCTCAGCCGGGGAGCCTTCCCCCTCACCCCTAAAGTTTCTGGGTTCGTTGGAATTTTTGGATTCAGATTTTTTTTCCTTTTTTTTTTTTTCCACCTAGGAGTTTGAGGGGAAAACTTTTGACAAATCGATCGCACTTTCTCTCCGCTAGCTCTTACGAGAGAGGCTCCCGCTGGACAAAGTTTTCCAAAGTTTTCCGAGTGTGATGGTTGCGGGGAGAGCTAATCCACCAGCTTGATTCACCGCTTCATCTCACCACCCCTCGAGCATCCCCTAAGCCCGCTATAAGGGAACAAACAAACAAACAAGCAAACAAAGTTACACCCCGAGTCGCCTCGTGTCTCTTCTCTCTCTTCTTTTAGGCAATTTTTTCCCTCCCTCTCTCCGCTCCCCTCGCAGCCTCACTCCCCTTCCCTCGGCCCCTTCCTCCTTCTCCGTTTCGGCTGGAGGTGCCAGGACCCCCGGCCGCAGCCTCCCCTCCCCCGCCGCTCGCGTCCCTTCTCATCCGGCCCTCCCCTCCCCCGCCGCGGCCGGCACAGCCAATCCCCCGAGCGGCCGCCAACATGCTCTTTGAGGGCTTGGAGATGGTGTCGGCGCTGGCCACCCTCGCCGCGTGCCTGGTGTCGGTGACGCTGCTGCTGGCCGTGTCGCAGCAGCTGTGGCAGCTGCGCTGGGCTGCCACCCGCGACAAGAGCTGCAAGCTGCCCATCCCCAAGGGCTCCATGGGCTTCCCGCTCATCGGAGAGACCGGCCACTGGCTGCTACAGGTAAGGGTGCGCTCGCCCCGCGGCTCTCCGGGGTCCGCTAGCGGCGAGCGCCGGGCAGTTGGAGCGGCGGGCCGGCCAGGGGGCGCCGGGAGCCTGAAGGCACGGGTCCCCGCCCCGCCCCTTCCCTCCTCTTTGCCGGTGCAGCCCGGGCTTGCCCTGCCCGCCTGCGGCGTGGTTCGGAGCCCACCGGCGCCGGGTGCGCAAATTCTGGGGGCTGATAGAAGTCCCCGGACTCGAGAGGGCTCCCAAGATTGACTTTCCCGGTCGCGGGCGACCCAGCAGGGGTGCGTGGACCGTCCGGGGGGGCTCCCCGCGCGAGGCGAGCCGGAGGGGGTGTCGGGTCGTGAGCAGTTTTCGCCTCCCCTTCGCGCTCCAGACCCCTGTCGCCGTCGGCTTCCGGGGCTTTGGAGGTGTCACTGGGACCCGAAAACTGAGCCGGGGAGAGGAAGGAGCCAATGACAGCCAGAATTGCCCTTTTAGACCCCGCTGTGTTCCCGCCGCGTCGTCGGCTGCGCTAGGTACAACTGCCCTGGTCCACAGTCCAACAAAGTGTGTGTATTTAGTGGTGGGGAAGGAAGGAGGTAACCCAAGGAAGGTGAGAAGCCCGAGACCCGAGGGTTCTTGGCTTTTAAGGAAAAGGGTCTATTTACTTATTGGGTGGGGACACTTGAGCAGGGGAGAGAAACTTGGGATTGGTGTATGAGATCCGAAGAGTGTGTGTGTGTGTGTGTGTGTGTGTGTGTGTGTGTTGCTAGACGCCACACAGCCGCACACTGCTGGTGATAATGGGGGTGGGTGCGTCGGGGACCAGACCCAGGTAAGTAATGGGGAGATTAACCTGGAATTAACCTCGTCAAGTGCTAGACAAACGCTTTTGCAACTTGATATACACCAGGTTTTTTTTCTTTTTGGGGTGGGGGGAGCCTCTGGTTAACTGCGGAAGGTGTGTTGTGTTCGGGTGAACACCCGTGTTTGTCCGGAGGATGCTGATGGGAGTTAAGAGAAGGATGAATGTCCTGAAGACAACCCCGGCAAGGGTGAGGTGAGGCGGTAGGCGACGGCAGAGACCTGTGGGTTTAGAAGTGCGAAAAGCATGGCTTGAAATTAATAGACGCGTGCAGTCCGCGAGCGCACACACATACACCATGCCCGGCCCCGCCCCGCGCCAAGTGACAGCGGAGCGGGGGCGGGGAGGGGGGCGTGCGGTTCCTCTGCGATGTGGTCTTCCCAAGTCCCAGAATCGGCCCATCTCTTTTGGGGATGCTCAAAGAGTGGGGTGGGGTTCGCTTTAATCAATGGGGCTACCCTCCATAAAGAAATCCCCAGAGCCTCTTCCATGCCACCACACTTAAAGAGTTAACTGCGGCGGTGGTCTAGGCTTTTGGCCGAGAATTTAGGAAATAAAGTAACTCACTCGGGCATCAGCTCCCGTCTCCTTAGAGCCAATCTGCGGAATCCGTGGTCTGTCGCCTCTCCCCCCCCCTTTCCTGACCTTTCTCTGCTACCCCGAATGTCCCCCTGACCTTTTCTCCGAATCCCACAAGGGCCCCTGGGGCTCCGTGTGCAACCCGCACTGAAGTTGGGGAAAGGGAACCAGGCCTACGCCTCCCCTTCCATCAGCCCGCGGGGCCCTAGACTTTGCCGTGGGAGGGAAATGGGGGATGCCTGTAGAAGAGCGCTGAAGGGGTTAATGGGAGCCCTCTGAATCCCAGCTTTATTTTTTTGGAGTCATTTATCAGATTTTACGGGGGGACCTCCAAGGGCTCTCCGTTTCCACCGTGCGCCATCTAAACAGAGCCTAGGGCTAAAAATACAACATTTTTGTATAAATTGGACTCGCGGCCCGAGCGGCCGCCCCTATGAAAGTCCTCTTTGTGAAGACCGTGGAAACGGCGGACAAATAACTCTTTATTAATGCCACAAAAAACGCACTTTAATTATAGTTAGGCAGATCAGAGGCGGGAGGGGGACGGCGGGAGAGAGGCGGCGGCGACCTCGGAAAATTCACAACCCAACTTTTGTGTCGAAAGAAAAGAAAAACAGAGGAAAAGAAGAAGAGGAGAGACGGAGAGTCAGACGGAGCGAGGGAGAAGGGTATAGCAGACGGAGGGAGGGAATCCCGCTCCTCAACCCCCCCTTGGTCGCACCTCCACCCTCGCCTAGATTTCTCTTAAAGGGGTAGACGCTGTCTAGAGCTGCGGCAGGGTGGGGAGGGGGGCTCTCTCCGACCCGCCAACCTGCGAGTGGGGTGGCGTCCCCGCGGCCCAGCCCCCCGTCTTGGAGGCGCGGGCGATCTGGGCTCGCTCCCTGTCGCGCGCCGGGGCCGGAGGCGCATGTGGAAAAGTGATTAGGGCTCCGGGTTCTGCAGAGTCACTTTTCGGCAGTGCTGGGGTGTGTACACATTTAGCTGGAGAATACTTTTCCGTAGAAGAAAGGAAAGTGAGGAGAGGGACCAACCGGGGACAAGGGGATGCCGAGGTGTCCCTGCGGGGGTGCATGACTGCGCAGGTCTGGAGTCCGCATCCCGCTCGTCGTCGGCCGCCAAGCGAGAGTGCCGGACAGGTGGCGCCCCTCCCCTTCGCACCCGGTGCTGCCCTGGCGGGAGAAGGGTTAACGCGGGGTGGGGTGGCGAGCGCCTACGTCAAAGGTGAGCCGGACGCCCCTGCCCCCGCCCCTCGGAGGTCCCCTCGGTTTCCGGTACCCGCGCGGGGGCCCGCTCAGCCAGCTCCTCTGCGCGCGGGGCCGGGGCCGGGGCCGGGGCCGGGGCCGGGGCCTAGCCATCCTGGGCGCGCGCCGTCGCTGCCGCCGCCGGGGATCCGGTTACCTGTTGACGGCCGCCCCGCCCTGCCCCGCCCCGCGGGAAGCGCCTTCCTCCAAGCTCCCGTTCCAAACTCCAGGGCGGCGACGAAAATCCTTCTGTTATTCCCAGGGCAGATTGCATTAGAAAAATTGCGGCTCTCGGCCCCGTGACCCTACCTTACAGATCCCTCAGAGGGCCGCCGGGTCCCTTCGCGGCCCACCCCTGAGAACGGAGGAAACCCCAACCCCCTTCTGTAGTGACTGCCTCCGGGCACCGACCGCTCACCGCTATAAATAATCTTTGGCCTGCGGCCACCCCGCGGGGTCTCGCCAGCCCGTGGCCGGGAGCCTGGAAATATTTATTCCGAGAGGCTCCGGAGCGTGAGGCGGGGGAGCGAGGGGGAGGGGAGCGGAGGCTCTAGCTTCGGGTCCAGGTCCCGCCATCCGGGATACCTTTTTCCTCCCGCAAGTCATTACCAAAAAACACCCTCCCGACGGGTGCCCCGGGCCTCCCAACTTCTTGCATTATTTATTATCCTCTAGGCCCTACTTCCCAGTTCTTGTGCATGCTATGAAAAATAAAACCTTCGTGCGTGTTTGTGTGTGTGTGTTGGGGGGGGTTGGGGGGACAGGGGACTGGCGGCCCGGGCGGGATCCTCCGTTCCTCCCCCACGGGCCCTCGGGGCTGGGCCTCCGGGACATCCCATCTGGAGATGTACGCCCTGAGAAAGGTCTCTTCCCTGGTTCCCGCAGGGTTCCGGCTTCCAGTCGTCGCGGAGGGAGAAGTATGGCAACGTGTTCAAAACGCACTTGCTGGGGCGGCCGCTGATCCGCGTGACAGGCGCAGAAAACGTGCGCAAGATCCTCATGGGCGAGCACCACCTCGTGAGCACTGAGTGGCCACGCAGCACGCGCATGCTGCTGGGCCCGAACGCGGTGGCCAACTGCATTGGCGACATCCACCGCAACAAGCGCAAGGTAAGAGCTCTCTCTGGGCGAAGCGCCCCGCAACCCTGCTCTGACCCTCTTCTTCCGTGCACCCGTCTCGGGTGTAAGGAGTTTGCGGAGCCCCGGGGACTCCCCCACCCGAATCTGCGCCCCCATTTGCACACCATGCTAGAGGATCCCACAGTTTCGTGCCTAGACTGCTGCGGTCCGGGATCTAGAGCCTGCAGGCCTCCCCCGAGTCTGCCCGTTTGTCGGTCGGCTGTGCCGTTCCCACTACCGGGGCCCATCGGTGGCTGTTGCGGGGAGGTGGTATGGACAGAGCTCGAACACGCAGGGAGTACGGCGTCCAACGCCGGTCCTCGCGTGCTCCACAAAACCGAGAAATAGAAGGGCAGATGGTGGTCCATGCTCCCCTTTTCGCCCGGTTTCCCTCTGGAATCCCGAGGACTGGAGACGGATCTTTGGAAAACCAAACCTAGCCTTTTTGCCACTGGTTGCTTAAGGGCGACGCGGGCAGGCGCAGGGAGCGGAGCACCTTGTGCGCGACAGTAGCAAGGCCTCGTCTGGGCGGGGGTGGG